GGAAGGAAGGAAGGAAGGAAGGAAGGAAGGAAGGAAGGAAGGAAGGAAGAAATGTAATGTAATTATCTGTGTTTTCTGATGGTCTTAGGTGACACTTACAAAAAGGTCATTTGACCCCAAGGGGTTACGACCCACAGGTTCAGAACCACTGTTCTAAGGGATCTGATACCTTCTTCTGGTTTGCTTAGGCACCAGGCATATGCATGGTGCACAGGCAGGCAGGCAGGCAAACACTCATGCACATAAAATAAAAATAAACCTTTATAATAAAGGAAAACAAATAGTAACATAGGCGATTTTCCTGGTTTTTCTTTTTTTTTCCCTAGCTTGCTTTAAAGGTGCAAATGGCAGTAGTTATAACCCCTAGCCCCGCCCCGTCACAACCGGGTTATGACTTGTTTAGACACCCTTCCTTGACAGACTCCACATGACTCACCAAATCTCTGAAAGTATGTAGCCTATTTTCTTCATTGGCCCTACTCCCTGGGCAAATTTCTTCAAATATTTTACTTCTGATCTAAGCTAAATTTTCAGTTTAGAGTGTTTTCATTTCTCCAGTTAAAGAAGAAAATGAAGGAAAAACCAAGGCCCCGGCTTCTGTAACCATGTCCGAAGAAACTTCGGCTCCTGCTCAGCCCCTCCGGCTCGGACAGGGAGCTGTGCTCAGTCATTAAGGGTGTTGGAGCCCCTCTTTCCCCTGCCTCCTGTCTTTGATTTGCAATTACAGGAATGATTCTCAACTCTGGCTGCCCCTTAAAGTCGCCGTGGGGAGCTTAAAAATCTAAGATGGAAGCCCCACCCCAGCCCAATTAAATCATATCCTTGGGGGATTAAGATGTTAAATTCTATGGGCTCATTATCTCTATTACCTTCGCAATCTGTCCATTTGTTTTGGCACCTAATTCGGGCCCTCATTACCTCTTAGTTCTGCTAATTAAATGGGATGTTAATTGTTCATTCCTTCTCTTGATTTCTCACCAATAGCAATGGCTGCAGCAGCGGCGGCCCTGATGATGCAGGGTGGGGATGGTGTGGAGAGCGAACCGTTGGTGAGGCTACTCTGTGTTGGGCACAATGCTGAGTTCAGACTCACTACAACACTGTCTCATTCTGTGCAGCTCTATGATGTCAGTGCTCCTCTAATCCCCATTTAATAGATGAGGAGACTGAGGCAAAGAGAGATGAGGTAATTTGCCCGAAGCCTGGAGAAGAGAAGGAAGCAAAGCCAGGGTCTAACCCAGTGTTTCACAGCCACAGTCCCCGTCCCCAACCCACCACCAGCACCTTGTCCCCAGGCTCTGGAGGCCTTCCTCGCTCTCCTCTCAGGAGTCTGGATGAGTTGCTGATCTCCAGGTTCATATTAAGGGCCTTCCCTGTGTGTGTTATTTAATTTTCTGTTTTTTAAATATTCAGGTTTTAATTTTTGCTTTCTATTTAATTTAATGTAGGGTCTTCCTATGTAGCCTTGGCTGGCCTGGAACTTGCTATGTAGACCAGGCTGGCCTCAAACTTACAGAGATCTACCTGGTTATGCCTGGTCCATCCAGGCTTTTAAAACTTATTTTGTGTGTGTGTGTGTGTGTGTGTGTGTGTGTACACCACAGTCTGACTGTGGAGGTTGGAGGATATCTTGCAGGTGTCAGCTCTCTCCTCCCAAGTAGCTCTGAGGGTTCAAACTGCAGAACCACCTCCCTGGCTTCCTTGTGCTTGAGTCTGTTTATGCTTTGGGACATTAGACTGGACTATGATGATATGGAATCTTCTGAAAAGTTGTCTACTTTGCTGTCATTAAAGCAATGTGTTCCAACAGCCTGTGCTTTCCTGCTCTAAGACAAAATAAGAGCCCTCCATTTCCCGCTGTGCTGCTGTGCTGCGATATACAGAGTACTCGTCTTCAACGGCTAAGTGATTGGCAGGTACAACTGCAAGACGCTTCCTGAGAGTTCAGGAATTTCATGTACTTCTCTGTCGCCCTGAGAAAGCCATGAGCAGCTGCCCTGGTTGAGGAAAAGGGACTTGAGAGAAAAGGGCCAAGAGCCAATACTGAGTATCATCATTTCTATAGAGTTCTGGAGCCAAGGAGGTGAGGGTGAGTGGTCAACCCTGTGAGCTGTGACCTAGATGGTGCCTGGAAAGCGAGGAGGTGACTGAGCATGGCAGCGAGAGCTGAAATAGGCAGCCGTGGACTGGAGGGAAGAAGATGTGACGATGACAGCATGGGAAGCTGGGTTGAAAATGTTGGAGGAGGGTGATACTCAGAGGAAGGATAGGACATTCAGAATGTGTGTTAACTTTGAAAGGGAAGTCGTGTCCTCTAAAAGGAACCTGTGAGAAGATAGCCCCTGGACAGGAGAGAGGGCGGCAAGCCCTGACACCTTGGGATCTGCTGTGGGAGGCTCGGGTGCCACAGGGAGGGTGGGGGTGAGCAGATGATGGTAGACAGCAGGGAAAGATAGCCGGCTCAGGGCGAACCATCCCGCCTTGTGTCTGATTCAGGCCACTAGAGGGCACCTGCATCTCATGCGTACCTCCTCAAAGGGGACCTTGGGGACCAGAACCACGGCCACGGCATATTCGTGCCACAATTGCTCAGCGCTTTGGTGAATGTGTCATTGGCACCTTGCGTGTCTTTGGACAGCCTACCCTGGGTGGCTGGCTCTGCCCTGCATGGCTATTCCTGCCCACCTCCTGGCAGCTGGCTGTGACGTCATGCTGTAGACTACCAACGGCTCTAGCACTGAGCTGGTCCCATGACTGCTGGAAACGCACAAGCTCACTGCAGTTGCCTGAATATTCTCTGGCTGTCTTCTTCCTCACAGCTAGCCTTTAATGAGCGAGGCCTATCAGTATAGCTTAAAATGTCGTGTGTAAGAAAATAGTGTCTGGGATTTGCTGTAAAATAAGAGTAGCAGGAGGGGGAATGTGAGAGATGGTAATAAGGGAATTTGTTTTATATGATATAGTCTACTTTCACAGGTTTTTAAATTTGTCTCTAAGAAATGGTTTTCAAGAATCACCATGGATCCCTAAGGCAGTGCGGAAGCCCTCATCTCCTGTACAGGACAGGTTGAGCCTGGTGAAGATCCTCTAGGACTCTGGGACTCACGGGGCAGGACAGACACCAGCTAGCTTGGCAGGCATCCACTCAGAGCCTAACTTACTTCCTGGAAGACGGAATTCGAGGGCTGGATTCCAGCATCATCTTTGATACACTTTGGGCTCCAGTTCCGTGTCACGAGGAGGTGAGGAGCCCTGCTGAACCTCACTACCCGTGCCTGCCAGGACTCTGTCCCCTTTCCTCCCAAGCCCAGTATTGCCGCAGCTGTGCTAAGCAGCCATTGCCCACATTTTAATGGACGCTTCCCTGAAACAGCTGAGGCGAAGCCTCCCTAAGCGCAGCCTTGCTGCCACTCGGAGAAGAGGTGTTCTGACTGAACACCAACTGGACAGAAAGGACCTCTTGTTCAGAGGAAGTGGAGAAGGATTTGAAGCAGGTGTCCAGGAAGAACCGGGGTTAATGGTCAGGGCCATGTGTCTTCAATCAAGCGTTCCAGGCGGTGTGTGCCTACATGCTGAGGTGGAGGGAAAGGTGGGTGTCTAAGACATAACCTCTTTGTTAACCCCTGACTGTCCCAACACCGAGTGTGAGGGCTAATCTTCAAATTGACAACCACCGTGGAAAAACCCTCCAGGTGTCCCTAAGAGTGTTTCCAGAAGGATTTAACTGAGGGGAGACTCACCCTGAATGTGGGAGGCACCATCCAGCGGGCAGGATCCCCATACTGAACAAAAAGGAGAAAGCGAGCTGAGCACCGGCGTCCATCAGTCTGTTTTCCTGACAGTGGGCGCAGGATGACCAGCCGCCTCACACTCCTGCAGTATGACCTCCCCGCCAGACAGCCAGGCCCCACCAAACTGTGAGCCAACATAAACCCTTCCTCCGTTAGGTCACCTTTGTCAAATATTTTAGCACGACCACGAGAATGTGAGACATTGAGGAGACGGACTCAGGAAGTTTCTGGAAGGCGGAAGGGAGTGAGGGACAGGGGCGGGGCAGGTAAGACAGACTCACCAAGTGGGCTGGAGATGGTGATCTTGTGTCCTTGACTGTAGCACTGGACGGGACATCGAGGAGGGGCCATTTCATCTGCAGGTACTGCACCGGGGAGAGAAAACACGAAGCAGGTGAGGTGAACTGTCTTAGGTACCAAGGGGAGTCTAGAAAGGGCCCTCAGGAGGTCACCAGCTGTAAGCCCACAGGGCCTGGACAAGGGCAATCACCTCCACCGCCACGTGAGTCTACTGTGGCACGGCAAACATTTTATAGTCAGTCTGCTACCACCATCTCACCACCACAGCCAGGGGCAAGACATTAAACAACTCAGCTAACGACTTCAGTGGGGAGGGCATGGATAATCCCAGTGTGACCATCACCTTCCAAGAACCTGTTTGTGAGGCTCAAGCCTTCTCTACTCTCCTTAGGGAGTGCAGCAGATCATCAGATTCCCAAGTGGAGGACCTGCCTGGTCCATCCCCGATGGCATTCCCCAAGAAACACACATGTGCGAGTGCTAAACATGGATAAACATGGAGAACTCACTTAATGCGCACGAAGCCCTAGGTCGAACACCCAGCCCCAACTATACGGGTTATGGTGGTGGCATGCCTGAAATCCCAGCTCTTGGGAGGTAGAAGTAGAGGATCAGAAGTTCAAGGCCACCCTCAGCTACATAACAAGTTCGAGGTCAGCCTAGGATATATGAGATCTTTCCTGAAAAACAAAACTAAAACTAAAACAAAACCAAAAAACCTCCCACCTGCCCTACAATCAAGGATCATGGGTAATTATCTTTTTTTTTTATTTGTTTGTTTATTTGTTTGTGTGAGAAAATATCTTGCTATGTAGTCTTGGCTGGACTGGAACTCACTATTTAGACCAGGCTGGCCTTGGATTTCCAGTGATATCCTTGCTTCTAAAGCAGAGTACTGGGATTACAGGTGTATAGAATAGACTCAGCATCCACGCACACTCGTGGATGTGGCCTTTCATTACTGTCTGTCAACCTTGGCTCCATCACCCCACACCCTCCACCTTCTGCCATGCATCACTGGAGGAGAAAAGAAAAATGGAACCCTTTCCAGACCCACGTACAAATTCACACACACATGCTCTCTAGAGGAAAAGCATTTCCTTTACATGGGTATGACACAGCCTGACAGGAGGGAGTACAGGGGGGCTCTGAGCACAGCATCCATGGGCATAGATCTCGCTCAGCCAATGTAGGTTGTGACCCAAGACAAATGACTTAACAGTTTGGAGTCTGTTTTGTCACCTGCGGGGGCAAGCTATTATGACTAACTTTACAGGTTGTGAGTAGGAACGGGACCACATCAGGGACTGAACGGTGTCTTACATGTGGGAGTTATTTGATAAATGGCAGCTATTATGTTCATAAGCAAACCATTAGTCTTTGCCAGGAGCAAAAGCAAGCATGTTATCCTACAGTCAACACTGACAAGGCGCTTCTGGGCAGCCGACCAGGGCAGAATTCTTGGGACTGCTTTGAGAACTAGAGTTCTGAGAGGAAGTGGAGGTTCAACTTTTAGAAAGGTACCCACAAGGCTGTGGATGCAGCTCAGGCCAGTAAAGCGCCTCCCGGCAGTCCTGGGACTGGTCCTCCGTACGTAAACTGAAGGCGGTGGTACATGCCTGTAACTGCAGCTCTAGGGAGGTAGGGACAGAAGGACCAGATGTTTAAACTCACCACCTGCTACCCAGAAAGGTTGCGACCAGTCCAGGCTGCATGAGACCTTGTCTCAAAAAATAACTAAATAGGGCAGGGAGGTGGCTCAGTAGGCAGAGGCCTTGAGAAACCCTGGAGGCCACGTGAAAATCAGGATTCGAGAATGTACATGTGTAATCCAGCACTCCTACTGTGAGATGGGAAGCCGAGACAGAATCGCCTGGGAGCTTCTGGAGCCAGCTAACCTGCTGTACTCAGTACAGCAACGAAGAAAAGCAAGATCCAGCCTGAAAGGGGAAGGCGAGCGCTAACTCCCCCTTCTCCCAAGAAAGTAAAATCAAACCAAAACGCACTCAAAGAACCCAGTTTAGCACATGGCCGTTGCAGTAGCAGAAAGCGCCACCATCCTAGGCTTTTTTGAGTGAATTAACGGTTGTAAACACAGGTTAAAGGGATAGGCCAACTGAGCCAACGATCAATTATTTTTCACTTCAAATTCTATTCTTTTCACTATTCCATGAGAAAGAACATATTTTCTTTTCGTGTGTGTGTGCATGCCTGCGTGCCTCTGGAGTCTATCTGACTCACTCTCTACTTTATTCACTGAGGCAGGATCTCTCCAGTTCAGCCAGAGCTTTCCTGTCTAGATAGCTTTTCCCAAGGTCACCTTCCAAGTTCTGGGATCAAAGGTGGGCCATGATATCCTCGATTGGTGTTTACACGGGTGGGGGATCCAAACTGGCAAGGACTCATCCACCACACTCCAGTCAGCCCACTATGACCCCCTCCACAGGGCCAGCCTGCAACTCGTCCTCTCCTCTGATGGACTTTCCCATTCCTTTGCTCTCTCCCACTCCCCCATGGACACCAATGTTCTCTTATGGTGGTGGCTGGAGGCAGCCAATACTTACAACCGAATACCAGACATCTTCTAAAATCAACAACCGCGCCCACACCTTTAATCCAGCTACTGTGAAATACATGGACCTTACTTAAGAAAGAAAGAAAATGTGCTGGGTGTGCCGGCTGCTCTTGGAGAAAACCCAAGAAGACCCAGGTTTGGTTCCCAGCACCATCACGACAACTTAAAACCACTTGTAACTCCAGTTCTAGGAGATCTGGTGCCCTCTTCTGTCCCCCACAGGCACTGCATGTACACAATGTGTGTGTGTGTGTGTGTGTGTGTACATGAAATATACACACGTGTAGGCAAAATGCTCACAAACATTAAAAAAAAAAGTGTTTCAAGAAAAGAGAAGTGTTTCAGACTTTCCCAAATGTCTCCCAGGATGGGGTTGGGGGGTGGCTGCCTGCTCTTCCGAATCACTAATCTAGTGATTAGTGATCTGATTTTTTTTTTTTTTTTCACGAGGGCTCATCTCACTTGACCTTGTGTGTCAAGGTATACACATGCATGCCGTCACCACATACACACTCGCAGTGAAGAGTTGATCTGTCTACTCAGGTGCCTTTCTGGGGCGTCCAGTGAGAGGAAGGGGCCTTTCTGCCCCAGTGGCGCACACAGGGGTCAGAGGCGTGAGAAGCTTAGAGGATAACGGTGTACCACTGAGGTCTGAGAGCAGGCGGAGCTGGGAACAGGATACCTGTCGCTCAGGGCCCGGCCTGCTTGCTCTACTGGCCCCTGGAGGCCTGGGGAGTCAATCTGAACTAGCAGGATGGTAGTTCTCCCTTTTTCAACTTTTAAACATTCCCCCCATGTGTGTGGCGTACATGTGTTTGTGCGCATGTTCGTGTGTGTGGACACGCAGCTGTGTGGGTGTCCATGCGCGTATGTCTAACACTCTCTTCTTCCTCTCTTAATTCTGGTGTCTTCAATCGCTCTCCACCTTACATGCCAAGCTAGGGTCTCACCACAGAACGCAGAGCTTGCCGAATCCCGCCTCTGCCTACTCAACACTGGGGTTACAGCTGGGCCACCGCACCTGCAGGGCTTTTCCATGGCCACTGGGGACTCTGGTTCTCCCACGTGGATTAAGGCAACAGGAGGCAACAGCCCTAGGAACGTGCAGGCATCGGCAATGCTCTGAATGCTGAGATCACACCCAGAGGAAAGAAACTGCTTGCAAAAGTTATTTGTTTTTAATCTGAATTGTTTCTCTGTGTGCTGTCCACGTTGTGGGTGCCCGCAGAGGTCAGGGTGTCGAATCTCAGGAGGTTACATGTGGTTGTGTGAGCCACGAACTGTGGGTGCTGAAACTAAACGGCAAGAGCATACACACTCTTCACACTAAGACGTCTCTCCAGCGCCAAGAAAGCTCTTCTTGGCAGTGGTTCCCAGGAGAGGCCAGCCCCACAGTTATCCTGGAGGTCACTGCACATGGGTGGAGCGTGTCTGTGGGGATTAAGTGATGTGTAGTTGAGCTTAGATAATGTAGCTGCGTACAATAATGGCATGTGGACAAATTTAAACAGGTTTCGTCAAGCCCTGTCTAAGCTCCATTCAACAAGCCGCCCAAGCTCAAGCTTCTGCCTCAGCTGGGCATCTGTGCAGCGGATGTGTTCAGAGCCTGGCCTAGCTACCTCTTTCTCCTGAGGTGACCGTTGAAAAGGCAAAGCTTTGGGTTTTCAAAGTATCAGTGCAACTGTTGGAGTGAGCATTCTGAGAAGCTGTTTATGGGTAAAGGACCCCTTCGATATTCAGAGACAGAAAAGACCACCCTCACTCACATATGCTGCTTTAAGATGCTACCATGTCTGATCTTCAAAGAACCTTGGAACCTGGCAGAGGACCTAGCCTCCTGCCATTCTGTTTTATGCTTATGTACAGTGAGGCTGTGGCTTAGAATGTATGAATATATCTGTTTGTGTGGAGCCACCAAGCTGGTCAGTAGGTAATGGTCCCTGCCACCAAACCTGACAACTAGTCTGATTCCTGTAACCTGTATGGTGGAAAGAAAAGAAGCTACTCCTGAAAGTTGTCCTCTGCCCTCCACAAGTGTGCTGTGACAATCATTACCCTGAAATAAAGACAAAGAAATGCAATAAGAACGTGTGTACAGCCGCGTAGAGAGGCCAGGAGGAGGCCAGTGCCCTGCTCTGTTATTCTCTGGCTTGTTCTCCTGAGACAAGGATGCTTACCATACTGGGGCTAGACCGGCAGCCAGCAAGCCAAAAGGACCTTACTGTCTCTGCCCATCTCAGCACTGAGGTTACGCAGGCCTGTGTGGCCACACCCAACTTAAAATTTATGTGTGTGTGTAAGTGGCACATGTGTCATGCGTGGAGGCAAGACGTCACATTGTCGAGTTGGCTCCCTTCTTCCTCGTTTTTGTGGGTTCCGGGGGTCAAACACAGACCCTCGGACTTGCAGGTTCCTTTCTGTGCTAAGCCATCTCACCAGCCTCCAGGCTTGTTTACTTGTCTTGTGGTTGTTGAGGTGGATGCTGGTGAT